CAACCGCGGTTTATGCGACACTTGCGGTCGTTGCTGTCGTCCGACAGCAGCGGTCGTAAGTGTCGTTCCGCAGATCGATACGCACCCAATGCTGTGCGACACTTGCGGTCGTTGCTGTCGTCCGACAGCAGCGGTCGTAAGTGTCGTTCCGCAGATCGATACGCACCCAATGCTGTGCGACACTTGCGGTCGTTGCTGTCGTCCGACCGACTATGCGTCCGGCCTATGGCGCTCACCCGGCTACACTGCGATTTCGTTGTTGGTCTTATTGGAGCGCGCCAGTTGTTGAATCAGAGGCGAGGTGTGCAAGTGCGAGGTTTCGTTCATAGATCGCAACTTATGCGAGAAGGAATGAATCGGCGATCATGCTGAAAGGAATGCATACGAATAACTGAAGTGCCCCTGAATCTTTCAGCATTCTCTGCAGTACAAGTGGGGTGAGCACGCCGGCATTTTTTTGAATACGGTAGGCGCAAAATTTATGTAAGTGAGGGGTGCTGTTCGCTACTAGACGTGTTTAATCTATAGAAAGTGGCTTACACATTCCAGCTTTTCACGCATGTCAAGTGGCTGCCCTCACACACCCCAAGATGGGCTACACTCCCCCTGGCTTACGAATTCCCTCAGGGCGCATACATAGCCAGACTTGCTTGAGTACTCGACGATCGGTACGTATCTAACGCTGTGCGACCATTACGATCGTTACGATCGGACGACAGATCACGCATGCGCCCTCAATTCTCGTGAAATCCTTGCAGGGGTGCAATGCCCAATTCCGTACATTTCGCGTCTACCTATTCAAAAATAAGGCACTTGTATTAGGCCGATGTCAGACTTTGCGAATCGCGCGATTCGCTAGCGTCTGCGGTCGCGTCGCGGCCAGTGAATCACTCAATTGGCTGGTACCGCAACGCGACCGCGGACGCTAGCGAATCGCGCGAATCGCTAGTAGCGAATCGCGCGATTCGCAAAGTCTGACATCGGCCTTACACCTAGCATCTGAAGTCTTTAAATCGATACCTATGCTTACCTTTCAGGAGAATAACCGAATCACATAAGCCGTGAGCTGTGAATTGGGCTTGATACCACGCCAGGTATTGGGTCTCTAACAACAAAGGGCGAAATATAAAGATGGTGACAGAATATTCATTGTCCAGATCCAATTAAAACGTCGGAACGGGTATCTATACAAATGTTTACCAACATCCTAGTCAACAGCATGTCTCTACTCAATTGTCCGCTCTTGATCTTGACATTTCCTTCAGGTGGAAAATCAGGCATCGAATGCTAGTCATGCTGAAACTTCGAGTGAACTGTACTACCGCTTACTATCACTTGTTTGCCTGCGAGCACCGATTAGGCTGAACTCTTTCGCTTCATAACTCTTTCAAAGAATCGTTTAGCAGACTTGGAAAGTGAATTTAGGATCGGCGTTCAACGGCACATCTAATTGTGTACACGTCTTCATGAACAACCATAGCGACCTGTATCCCTTCCTTGTAAAGAAGAGGAAATAGCGCGCTTTGTGTTCGAACACGCTGTCTCTTTAAGGCCGATGTCAGACTTTGCGAATCGCTAGCGTCTGCGGTCGCGTCGCGGCCAGTGAATCACTCAATTGGCTGGTACCGCAACGCGACCGCGGACGCTAGCGAATCGCGCGATTCGCAAAGTCTGACATCGGCTAACAAGGATACTAGGCCGTCCTAGTCATTCAATAGAGCGGATAACGCAGGGAGAATGTAACAGGGTAAAATGATAGTATATTTTCGGGGAGGAGAAGCGGTCTTGGGATATCGGAAACCATCCTACTATATATAATCGGCTAAGCGGTTGTGTGTGTGTGTCTGTGTGTGTATGTGTTTGTCTGTCTGACCGGAAATTCATAGCTCGGGCACCAGTGGTCGTCAGGAGTTGGTTTCAAGATATGATATAGGGGGTGGGACGGGAACATATTTGGTGGGGTAAAGAAAGTGATCACAACTGATAAGGGCTGATAAAAGGCGCTAGAACGCAAGTGTCGCGAAATTCATAGCTCGGGCACCAGTGGTCGTCAGGAGTTGGTTTCAAGATATGATATAGGGGGTGGGACGGGAACATATTTGGTGGGGGTCACAAAGTGATAACGACTGATAAGAGCAGATAAGAGGCGCTGAAACACAATTTCACGAAATTCATAGCGCTTCGCAGCAGTCGTCAGGAACTGATTTTGGGACATGATATAGGGGGGACGGTAACATATTTTGTGGGGGTCAAAAAGTGATAACGACAGATGAGGACTGATAATTACGATATGCGTACGAACGTAGAGATTACTCGAAACCAGATTGCAGATAATGCATTTCATTTCAATATCATTTCATTAGCGTTATAATTGTAAATTCAAACACCTTTCAACCGCTACACCTTCTAGAGTTCTTGAGGATGAATGGGATGCTCTAATAAATTTGATAGTGAATACTGGGCATTCCGTCTTGAGATTACCAAAAATTATTCGACCGCTAAATTTCCTCGATTCTCGATGCATGGTGGTTGTTTACATACATCACTTTAGCTGTGCACTTCACTGCGCTTATCAAACAGTGAGATACAGCCAAGATGGGCAACGGACAGTAATGCATTTAACGAAGCAGCTATAGTTAAGCGGTGAAACCCAAAGCTTCACCGATTGTCAGTTTTGTCAGAGGCTTCCGTGTCATGCGCGCGGTAGCGGGCGGAGCTAACTGGTTTTGATATAAGTGGCTTTTCTTTACATGGCTCCTTCCGCTCTCCGATACCGCTCGAGGACCACTTTTTCTTTCTGGAATAGTTTCAGCTGGATACAGCGAGGAGACAGTAGGATTGTTGAAGCAGGGGTGATTTACCCAATCTCGGTGGCGGCATTGACTTGAGGGTCGTTCTCGCCTAGATTAACTGAGACCTGGCTCACCCAAAGTCTGCTTTCGTGATAGTCACCGTCCCTTGTGGAGGAACCTTACATCACAGTGCTCATTTTCTTCTCTTGCGAAAGAGTCTATTGTTATAGTAGCACTACTGTACTGGGCATACTACCCGTTTCAAAAGGCATCAGTGAATTTCGTTGCTGTTACCATTACAATATGTCGTTAGGATCATCTTTATTGAATGTTTCAATGGAGATGTAGGGCCTTTAAGAAGGTGGGAATGGGCATACAATCGCATGAATTATACTAATCATTCTGTAAGAGGATAGAAAGAATGTTTAACTCAATAAGGATCTTTTTAGAAATGCAGAAGAGTAGTCTCAAATGTGCTGACGCTACCGCCGTCGCTTTCCAGTTTCCACATCTCTTCGAGCTGTCGACGTCTTCAAAGAGATCATACAAAATCAGTTTGCAGAATACTCTACGTCCCTCAGAATAGCAACACATCGAATACTTACCTTTTTCGTTGAAGCAGCGCGAGCCCCAGATGGAGCAGGCTTAGCTTGTTGAGCAACACCCTGAAAGAATAATAATGGGTTTTTTTTCTGGCGCTACTTCGGGGATGGCAGAATTACAGTTCAGAAGTGCCAGTTGAAGAGGGCAATCTTAACGGAGCTCTCTTACCAGAAAGGTCTTCAGGTCATGCCCCGCTTTTCAAAGCGGTTTTCTTCATTAGGTAGAAACATGTGCATGGCACCTTTTTTCCTTAGCAGGTCCCCGGATTCCAAAAACGAGACGAAAGTTTGGTTTATGGTCCAATGCCTATGATGAGAAAGTTCTGCATTTTCGATTGGCGCTTTCATAACATCGCAAAATGGTACCCACTGGATGCCTTATTACCACTGGGACCATCAGTAACCCATATAAATAGGTTTTCACAAAAGCTAGTGTCAAATGTAGAGCGCTTGAGCTTTTTGAACCCCATATTGACATTATGGGACCGCTCAGGAAAAATGAACCACAGTTCTATGCTCCATGTATATGCCCCTATATCATGCAAGGAACTATTCTCATAGGCATGACATGAAAAACCTTCCTGGTTACGGTAGTCGTCGTTGCACCAGATTGCTTACCGGGCTTCAAGGGGGCCTCAATTCTCTATTTCTTCCATTACAGCTATTTAAGCAGTCCTCTATCTACACACCAGCAAAAACAGTTTCCCTCTGTTGACGGCACTTTCTTGTTGAGCTTACTGGCACTGGGGCTCTCTGTTTGTTTGCCATTCGCTAAGGCAAAGGCGCAATGCACTATGAATTTGCTGCTCATCGCGGTTCGTCGATCGGTACCCTTCAGAGAATCCTTCACGGAAATAATGTGATTCTATCTCACCAAAGAATCACTCGGCTGGGGTAAGACCCATTCATTTCACGATAGGCAACGCAGAGAGCAAAAAATTGTGTCGTTTCTCAAACGTATCGAAAAACCGAGGACTTTACGCGTTCAAGGTTCCGCGCCGCAAACTCGTCAACCAAACATGCGAAAAAAGCTTTCCACTTGGGCGTTCTCAGAGCCACCTCATGCCTAAGAACTTCATTTCGGCCCTTTCACCTTATGGCAGCAAACATTCGTCTTCACTTGTATCCAATTATTGATCGATCGTTTTTGTCTCTCTTTAAACAAATTCGAAGCTCATCCGGTTCTCCAATACGTCGCAGACAGGTGACCGCCTCCCAAATATGGTGCCAGTTCTCTCAGGTGTTCCTTAGTTTTTCGCTCGATTTTGAGCTACGCCCTCGAAGCTGATTCCATTAGCAGTGCTGATTTTTTCGTGAGTCTCTGTTCCTCTTGGGACTGGAGCTTTTTGCGTGAAACTTTACGTTGTCTCTAGTGATCACAACTGGCACATACATTAAAAAATGCAAGATTTTTCCGTGGAAGCTTTTCTTGAGCTATCTTCCATCCGTGTGTATTGTACAGCCTTAGAGACTTGTCTTTGTTGAACATGCAGGCGTAAAAGTTCGATAGTAAAGGCTCCAGCGTTATACAACGACCTGTAGTCGGCTCAAGCGCCCCCAGATAAATGTTAAAAATACAGTCGGAAGGTCAACACCGAGGTTCAAGCTTCACAAAAAGAGACTTAGATAGGGCCCCTGTCTACATGAACGAGACATGTGTTGATCAAACCGTTCATGCGGCACAACTCTGTACGCACACGTTCTACGATAAGTTTGAGACACCTCGATCTAGCGATTTTAAAAAATAATGTATCTATAATCTGTGTCGTCCTTGCGCCCGGGATCGCTGTGAGGCCACTCGGTATGCGTGTTGCGTACAGCTCTCGGTACTTCACTTACTCCTTTCCCGCCCGCCCTCTCCGTCCACCGCCCATTCCCACCACCTCATCTCGCCCGTCGCCCCCGATGGCGCCGCCTTCGAGGCGCATAATCATCGCTATGTAGCCTGTCGTTGTTCCATTGGTGACCAATGTTATCGAGGTTATGGTCCTTTTCTAATTGGCTTATACCCCGGCTTGTTGCTTTTTCCTCTTGTCGTCGTCTTTTGTCAGCGAGGTTTCTTTTCTAGTCGTTTTCTTTTCCTTTCCCTCGTAAGAGAAATGCTATACCTTAGAGACAGGCTTTTTCGTTGTGGAGGTAGAGGGCCTGGTTTCGTAGCTTTTGCAATAACAACGGCAGCAGGCTGAGCAGGAGGAGGAGGAGGAGGAGGCGGCGGCGGAGGTGGAGGGGGTGGGGGAGGAGGAGGAGGCGGCGGTGGTGGTGGGGTTGCAGGTTTTGGTGGAGGGCTTTGAGGTTTAGGAGCTGAAGTCTGAGAAGCTCCTGTCGGCTTGGCTGCCGGAGTTGGCGGTGCCGGCTGCTTCATCGTTGTCGTCTCCTTGACACTGCAAAACTAATTTTCAGTCAATTTGCTCTAATGAAACGTTTAAAAAGATGTGTCACTTAAGAGGGCGCCATAAATATGGTAACAGAGTAATAGTGGCACAGAAGTTAAATTCATAAGAAACATGATAGAATTTCACTCGTATTAACTCTGTTTCATGGAAACGCAAGTGTTACAAGGTCGTTAGATAAGATTGCTTCGATTGGCATGAGTAAAGCCTGCAGAATTCTTGGGTATGCTTCGACACCGAAGGTTTCTTCAAGAATTTTGGCTCAGACTTGGTCAAGATCGGATTTTATGATGAAAATGCCGCCCTTGGAAATTAAGTTTGAGGTGGTAGTGATGCACTACAGAAGAAAAAAACTGAGGAAATGCCTAGAACCCAAGAAATGGGACCCCTTTTGCCCGTTGATTTGCGCATTGATGCGACTCTCATCGGTGCTGCCCTCTTCAACGCTAACGCTCTCTCTGCTGAACGGCTAGAGACTCAGACACGAGACGACGCGAGAGGGGCGTACCGCGCCAATAGCGCCGCGGAGGAAACCATGCTGTGTCGCCGGGCATATCCTTCGACTCGAATTGCGTGTCCGTCCGCACCCTTGAAAGGTCCGCCTGCCTCTTTTCTAGGCAAGTTTCCCTCTTCACCTTCGTCCTTATGATGGGATCCTCTGAATAACTTGTTAGTTGTTAGTTTTGAAGTTAGTTTGCACGGGCGCGATAAGCACACACGGATACGATGCTGCGAATTGGAACCGTGCGGTACAAACCCTCTCCCCGCCCCCGTTCTAGTTCATATTTAGGGCTATGGACGCGAGGGAACAAAAAGAATTGCTGAGAAACCTTAAAATCGTTGATAAGAGCCGTGGTTACCGAGCTCCTACTGGAACCTCACTGCTTCGCACCCACGTCTTTACCGTTCCGTTGTGCTGAAAGTCTAACCACACCGTCTATTGTTACCCGACAGAAGGCCCGTCGCGCGGCAAGAAGGCGGAGTCAGCGGACGAGTCGCAGCGCGTACTGTAATGATTTCGCGTCAAGTTAAATAGAATGTACCATTGTACGTCCTACATCGCACAACACGCGCTGCGACTCGTCCTGCTGCCTTCTTGCCGCGCGATGGGCCTCCTGTCGAGTACCCTCGTCTTAGCTAACGCGTAATAAATTAAGATTCCTCAGAAGTTCTTTGCTCTTTCCGTTGCTGATGGACCAATTACCAATGTGCGTTCTAAATCGCACAACGCAATTAGTTTAGAATTCGAGCGTCATGATCAACAGCACCCCCAAATGTGGAAGGAGTCTCAGAAATAAACGACGAGAATCCTGAAAGCAGAGCGGTTACGCTACGATTTAAATGGGGTTTAGAGGGGACGAGGGGGTCCTCAATGGTACGTCAGTGGCGAAAGAAGCAGCGAAATCGGTCCAGGAAACGAGAAATGGGACCCCCTTTTGGGCCGTTTATTGCGGCTCTCAGATGGACTGCGGCGAAGACCGCGCACGCGTGGACGAGATTGCGCAACGCGTGCTGGGCAGCAAACAGCAGGCATGGCGCCCTAACCGCGCTGCGGCTGGCAACACGGCTCGCCCAAGCCACCGATGAATCATGGGGCGGGGCGGCGCATGGGGCGGAAGGGCGCAATGGTCCTGCTCAGCAACCACAGCACTGTTCGCAGTGCAAGCGCCACACATCGCTTCCTTGGCGGCCTGCTAGTTGCTCTGTGGGGAGCAGGTTCTCCGCAGATGTGAAAATTCCTTTTCGTGACCCACTTTCCTTTAAATTCGGGTAGGTACAGACATGATCGGACTGACTTGTGCCTCGTTGAAAAACCCTTCAAAATCCAAGCAACGTCCTTCATTACTGGTCGGCTATCTGGCGCTGCCGACCAACATGCAGTGCAGACCACGCGAATTTCGTCTGGCAGGTCCTCGGAAAGAGGAGGTCGAAATGTTGGATCGGACAACTGAAACATGCACTAATTGAGTAATTCAGAAGAGGAAATTTGTAGCTGTGCCACTAAGCTGGCCTAAAATTTAATATTAAATCTAGACATTGTGAACGTCTCACCCGTTGTCGAACCGTCTTATTATCGTATTCTTCGAACGGCATTTTTGCATTATTGAAAATCTCCCAGACGAGTATTCCGTAAGAATATACGTCACATTCACGTGTATAGATGTAGTGTCGCCTACAGACTGGTGGTCTGGAGGCCTGCCTGAAATAGTTGGAAGACTTAACTAGTTGATGCTAATAATTATGGTTGCTTACAGGCGGAGGTGACGCCTTTTTGAGTTATAGGGATTGCAGATCTTTTAAGCAAGGAGGCTCAGGGATGCGGACAAAGGTTTATTTATTGCAGAAAAATATCCGCGTTGTTAGCAGACAGAACAAGAGCTTAGTTGAGTTAAAAGGAATCTGCGCGCGGGTAAGAATTCTTGCACTCTGTTCGCTAACAATGAATAATGTCAGTTGTTGATTCACTGTGAAGAAATAGCACACGCGATCACGGAAATAGCACACAAAGTTTCACGCATGAAGATTCGGTTTCTGAAGAGAAACAAACGTACAAAAACTACACGTTATGGACCATCGAAGGACCAGGAGGCAGAGCCAGGCGAGGCATGGAAAGAAGACGGCGTTTGGCCGGCTACGTACCAGGCGACGCAATGAGAGAATCGGGTTAAAGCGCGCGATTTCGGAGAGTGGAGACAAATCGATCGATGGAATAGGATGGAGTAGAAGTGTAAGATGTGAATGCAACGAAGCAGAAGGCCAGAAAGAGCTTCTAGTGAATGCACTCCAAGAACCAAGTTTGAGCATCCCCGTCGCCAGCATTCGTGAAAGACGTCCGTGGGCAATTCGAACGCGTAGCAGCCTTTTCGAGTTTTCGAATTTCTAAATCAAAACGAAAGCAATACTCCAGTTCTTTTCACTATTATCGTGGATAATGAGTCTCAAGCCAGTGATTTATGGCTGAAATAGAAAATCAATTTTTCCGCGCAAGATTCCTTTAAGCCCGCCCCCAAGGAGAGGGGTTGACCGCGCGGGTTCTGTCCTATGCCAGAACAGTAATCAGCGACAAAGCAAGGAGATCCCGTGTTGCATTTGCTTGACAGATCTCTCTGCTTTTTTCTACCATTGAGCACCCACGCCCCTTTAATAATAATATAAAAGGTTTGCAAGCATGCACCAGAGGGCCTCAGGTTTTTCCGTCAACCTATATTATCATTTATCAGACGGCATTGTAGTTTGAAAATATTAAGGTGTACCATTTTGTAGGAATTTTTTCTGTCGGCAGAATTTTGTACGAATCGGCTTGCTTGGAAAGTCCAAAGTCCGAAATCTTTACGATGTTCTTCTGTGTGTCGATTAGGCAATTACGGCACGCCAAATCCCTTAAAAATTCCAAGCAATTACTCTATCGCAAGAATTCTAGTGGTTATATTTTCTTTCTGATTATACAATAGTTCTAATGTGACTCAGACTCTCGCTCCCTGCCTATGCGTGACCAGATCTAGCACTAATTCATAATTTTTGAAGTTACATAGTGGAAGGAAAACTTCAGAAAGGTGCCGATACAGGAGGAATCGGCGAGATATTAATGAATCAATGTTCGTAAGGCCGCGCTGACACGCTAGAGGCCAAGCCTTCACAGCCATGGTCGTACACCGTCGAACTCTTTGGTGGTATCACTTGGCGACAGTCTGGACTACTTGATCGGACCCACAAGGGCATCCACCATGTGAGCTCACATTTTCTGCTACTCTATTATTCTCTAATTGCTTTGACCAAATTTGGTATTTTTCATCGTAATGGTGATTTTCGATGTGGCATGACTAGACACCTCATTTGCTAGCTGATTTTCATGATTACTAACATCCTGTCTGAAGGCTATCTCATCCGATGTTTGAGAAAGAATGGGCTCATATGCAGTTTCTCGAAACTTGGAGCATACGGTAAGCAACAGGCGAATGAGTTCGGTAGCCTTTTAAATTCTTTATCATCGATGACTCGTCACCAACGTTTGTTTAAACTCCAGGAATTTCTTCAAATTCATAGCAATAGGTGTAAAGTACTGCGGAATTTGTGAACGGATCCAATGTTTCGAGTTGCATACCCCGATATCAATTCAAATTGTCAGTTCTCTATTTTGGGGACACTATATGATCTCTTTTCCCATTGTACAGCTACATGACCTCCTAGGTTTTAACTAGCAGGGCGATACTGTATAAAAGCGAAGATTGTCTTGTCCTCTGATGAATCTTCCTATCCTGCTCTACTAAACAAGGACACAACACTTTGCCAGAGTCGTCTTGATATGCT